CTCCTGGCACATCTCTGCTTTAAATCCGTTAGTGAATTTCTTCTCCCCTGAACTAAGAATGAGTCCCACACTCTTGAAAGTAGCTCACAAAGCCCTTGCAGCATCTGGTCTTTGAGCTCATCTCACACCACCCTACTCCCTTGCTTCCTTCTCTCTGTTCTTCAGACAGTCCAAACTCATTTTTGCTTTGAAGACTGAGCACATGCTGCTTCCATTAATGGCCTGTTCTTCCAGAAGCTTCTCCCTACCACCTATCTAAAGGCCATTGCAGTATGTTGTTATCAAACTGTTAAGATTATTTGATTAATATCCATCACACACACACACACCCCTCAATACACAAGTATAAATTCTAAGAGTTTAGATACCATCTCTTTCTTTCTTATCCATTGTATCCTTGAGAATCTGGCTCAGAGGAAGTCATCAGTGTATATTTATTGGATGGGTGAATAAATGCAATGTGGGTAGTTACTTAAGGGGGCCTCCTGTGGGTGTTCTGTCATTTGTGTGCGAGGTGCTTGCACAGTGCTAGTATGTGTAGAATAACAGACTTGAAAATGTATCTTTAACCACAGATACTTTTCTTTGACAACATTTTCAGGAGGAAGACAATCCCATGAGATGCAACTCTCTCTGATCCTGTTCTATAACTAGCTGAGAAGTGAGTTTGTCCTCATGGGCCAGGACCTCCCTGGGAGGTCATCCAGGCTGCTGTAAAAGGGACAAGCTGACTTGAATTTGAGAGACACATAAACATGACTTTTCTCCTGGAGAGTTCTGGGCTCTAATCAGATAAAACACAACATCATAGCTCTTTAGCATGCCCACAGAAAGTCAAAAGGCATATTTTGAACTTTTGCACAAACGCACAGAGCATAGCTTCAAAAAACGTAGAGTACTGAGATATTAAATATAGAATTCATCTTCAAATTAACTAGTTTTCATAATTGAACTTAGGAAGAAACATCAAGTGAGGTTAAATCTTACCGGGATTATTGTGCATCAGCCCATTAGTGTGGGTTAGAATGTGTCGTTTTGTGGCAGCGTTAGTGGTAGCATCATTTCTCGAGCATATTCTTGGGATGCTGCTTTACTTTTATTTTCTGAATTTAGGAACAAAGTGTAGATGGCATTTAAAAGGGATGCAGAAATAGTTTCAGAGGCAGTTTTAGTTTTACACACTCATTCCACATTCTGTCATTTTCTGTTAAATTGGACCGAAGTGAGTCATTTATTGGGAGGTGAGAAAGGGTGTTCACATGTGCAAAGTGGCCCGAGCCATCTCTGGTAGACTTCACTTGCACACTCTGGTAACGGCAAAGCCATCTCTTCAGTTAGACCCGAGATTGCCAGGTCCCCCGTGTCAGAGATGTGTTACGGCGGACAGCCATTGAAGGGTCTTGGGGAGCCATGAGGTGACAGGCAGATTCCGTGCACATGCATTTGTGGGCATGTGGGTAAAAGCACGTGTGCATTCTCAGTGGGGGAAAAGTCCAGCCCGTCATTGGATTCTGTCAGTGGGGCAAGGCTTCCAGAAAGAAATTTTTCTCCAATTTAGGAAGAGGGAGTGAATGGCCAAGGTTATAATTTGGTTTCCAGGGACGACAGAGTGACCCTGGGAAAGAAGAGTATGACGTTCCCTCAGATAACCCTGCAGTGCGGCTCCCTCTGGGTCCCAGGGAGGCTTTGTGAAGGGGAGTCTCAACACAAGGGAGCCTGAAGCTGCAGGGGTGGCGACCGACTAACTGTGAAATGAATTTAGTGTCAATGGACCAGTCCCACAATCTGGCATATGCTACTCATTTGAGGAACCAAGGTGGGCATTTGAATGGAGGGATGCAGTTCTCTGGGTGAACTCAGAGTTCCTTTATCTGTTGAATTATTTGCTTTTATTTATTTTTTTTAAAGATTTTTTTTATTTATTTGACACACAGAGACAAAGAGAGAGCTCAAGCAGGTGGAGTGGCAAGCAGCGGGAGAGGGAGAAGCAGGCTTCCGGAGAAGCAGGCTCCCTGAAGAGCAGGGAGCCTGATGTGGGGCTCTATCCCAGGACCCTGGGATCACGACCTGAGCCGAAGGCAGTCGCTTCACCAACTGAGCCACCCAGGCGCCCCGAATTATTTGTTTTTATATTTAAACTATCTTTTTCCTCCTTTCCTGAGAGGAGAACAAAAACAAAACACAACCAAAATGTAAAAAAAAGAAGGGCACGTGGCTGGCTCAGTTGGTGGAGTGTGCAACTCTTGGCCTCAGGGTTGTGAGTTCAAGCCCCGTGTAGGGGGTAGAGATTACTTAAAAATAAAATCTTTAAAAAATGTAAAAAATAGAAAGTAGCAGTGTCCATTAATTCTCCTTACCAAGGTTTAGTTCAAAACAGAAATAGCTTTAAATTTTGTTTTGATTATAATGAGCATTATCTGTACATTATAAAAAGTAGACAATGCAGGAAAATATAAGGGGGGAGAAAGGCACCCTGAATCCCATTTTTTTCTTTCTATGCTAATGTGTTCGCACCAAAAATGGGCTGATGCTGCATGTGCTTATTTATAATCGAGACCCTTGTAGAGACCGCAGTGAAGAGAAACACAGATTTCCACCCACATGCAAAAGTGAGTGGGGGATGTATCTGTCATGAACATTTTCTGACTCTGAAAGTCTTCAGCATGTCTCCAGGGGGAGCAAGAAGGCAGCTAGTGAGCTTCTGGGGGCAGAACTCAGAGAGCTGACCCCAAGAGCCTAGTTTGCTGTTGGGGAGGACTGTTGAAAATTGGCAGAACCAGGTTTTAGTCCAAGTCTTTGGAGTTCTGACCCATCCAGGTCCGAGCTGAGCATTTCATCCTCAAAAGGGAACAGTGGTGACATGGGGGATGGTGGTGGTTGTCCCTGCCCAAACCTCAGTGTGTTTTCCTGACACCTTCACCAGAGTATGTGGTCCCCTGGAGTCTGAGTGAATTAAGCCTCTCCTAGTTCTACCAAGACCTCTTTGCTAGTTTAGACTTTGGGCCTCAAATTTCTCCTGCAGGCACACCAAATACAATTTTAGGTGGTCTGTCTTGCGTTCATTAACTACATGCCCAATTTTCCTCAACTTTGAAGCCTCGCCAAAATCTATATTCAAATCTGTAATCTGTAATAGTCAGGGGTAAATGAAATTTTTGTCCTCCTTGGGCTTTACTTCAAATACTTACTTCAAAGCAAAGACTGGAAGGGGAGTCAAGGGGCTGAGATTTAAACGCAGGGGGACCTTGAACATTTCCATGGAGATAGGAAGTGAAAGGTGAAGGATACCTGGGGAGAGAGCAAGGAATGGTTTTGATAGGATTGATTGTAAGACCAAGGGGAAGATTTTGATGCTATACAGAAATTGAAGGAACTGAAATGTTCTGGATCAAAGATCTTCTAAACCACTTAAGCATATGCCATGCAGGTTCTGTAAGAGAGGATGGATATTCCCTTTCTTGTCCCTCCATGATGCTCTCAAGCAGGTAAGTATAGGGACATAGCATCTATTAAGTGAGAGGCAGGATTCCAGAGTTTTTATGTTGAATGGGAGAAACTAAACACTTGGGCTTACCACTATCTTTTATTCAAGAAAATAAGAACTGAAGTTATTTCATATCCTCCAGGTATTTTTCCTCCCACTAGGTTTTGCTCTCCATTCAATCAACATTCAAAGAAAGAGCATTTCATAAAATAGGAAGGGTCTTTTGCTGAGCAGGTTTTAAGGAACAGGAACCTTCTTATTCTATTGAAATTTAATGAAACTCTTTCCCTTTGAAAACTGCTTGGACTTTGGACAGGTTGCAAATCTAACAAGGCTGACCTCCTGAGGTCAGCCCATATATAAAGTGTGATCTTGGTTTTTAAGCAACAGCAGTGTCAGGGGATCAAGAGGTGAAATGTGATGCCTGCAAAATTGATTAGCTAAGAATTATGGAAGCTCTTCATATGATAATTACTTATATGCTTATAAGTACCAGTGCACACAGACTGCTAGGCATGATTTTTTGAAAGGTCTCATCTCTTTTCCTTATTGTGTAGAAGAACTTCTGGCAAACCTTCAGGTAAAAATTGGGCATTTTATTATCGAAAGATGCAAAATGAGAAGTCCCCAGGAATATTTTTAGCCCTGATTGTATTTCTTCTGGATGTTATAGCCTCACATTTAAATCACCCTGGTATTTTGTCTCAACGTATTTTGTCAAAAACGAGAGGATGTTGAAGTGATTGAAACAAGTTGTCTCTCTCCCCTGAACTTCAAACTCAAATACCCAGTTGCTATTTGGACATCTCCAGATGGATGTCTACTAGCTCAAATTTATAAGCCCAGTACTGAACTCTTCCAACTTCAAAGACCCAAGTAATCATCCCATCATCTCTGCCGTGTCAGTAAAAGGCGACTTCAGTCTTCCAGTTGGATCAGTACCCCCACCCCCACTTTGAAGCCATCCTTGATTCCTTTCTCTCACATCTTCCATGCAACCTGTTAATCATTCCGTTGGCTCAACCTTCAGGTTATGTCCAGAATTTCACCGCTGTCCTCCATCTCTGCCACATTACCCTGGGCCAAGCCATCATCCTCTCTCACCTAAATAATTACAGCAATCTCCTAAGGTCTCCGCACTTCTACCCTTGCCCTAGGACCTTTTAAAACCATTTTTGAAAAATGGGTGACAAAAATCAGGGTGCTAAATTGATACATCTTGTAATACATGTGCCCCGTGTCTTAGCTGGGAACCTCTGCTGAAAACTGGATTTGTTTTCCGCTACAGCCCAGAGAGCAATATGGTTTGTAATTATGTCTTTCCATCTGTCTGCCAATCACCTGGGGATTTATCTGCATGCAGCATGAGCTGAAGAAAGATGGAAGCCAAAATGTTGTTGATATATTTATGTATGTGTGCGTAGACGTGCTGAACAAAAACAAGCTGATGGAAACACCCACTCAAAGAACCAATAACAGTCTTCTCTCCTTGCTTCTCTCACTTGCTTGCTTTCAGCAACCACTGGAAAGAAAAGACAGCCAGAATAGCTCTCAGCACAGCGTCTCCAGCCACCGGAGCCTACACACGGCCTCCCCAGGCCATAGCACACAGGTGCTCCCCGAGTACCCACCTGCAGAGGCCCCAACTCCAGATCAAACCGACAGCTCTGGGCAGAAAAAACCAGATCCTTTTAAAATCTGGGCCCAGTCCAGGAGCATGTATGAAAACCGACGTGAGTAGCACCCTGGCTCCCGTCTTCCCGAGATCCCTGCCCAAGGCAGCAGTTTTCTCTTGAGGCTTCTTGAAAATAGATTTTCAGTGTATAAACGGGGTAGAAGTAAATCATGGTGAGAGGCAAAAGCTTCTCAGAATAGTGACAGAATCTGCTGGATGTTCATGGAGGATCAGTTTGCGGAGGGAGGGAGCAAGATGCGGATGGTGGTCAAAATAAAGGACCTGGATAAAAAATGGGTTTATTTCTCCCTTCAGTTAAAAGAAGTGGCAGATAAGAGCTGCTGTCTCATTCACTCTTCCCCGTGTAGAGATTGTGGCATATTCTCGTGAGACAGCTCTGATGTTCAGTAGAACATAAATATGATTGATTTGGATTGCAGGAGTAATGAGAAGAGATTAAATGCTTTCTTAGTGGCCTCCAAGTTTTTAAGACTACTGGTAATTTCTTTCTTTTATCATTATCAGTCTTTTGAAACATTCCCCTTAGAAAGGAAAAAAAAAAAAAGCAGTGAGTGGTTTGCGCTTTAATTATTTATACTGTGGTTAAGTGTGTTCCTTTGGCTTTACCTTTTCGATAAACATGAACTAGTGATGGCATACATCGTAACTTTTGGCCCTTATAAACCTAACATTGCCTTCTTGTTTTATTTCTTACTTTTTATTATGAAATGACTCTAAAGACTGTTCATGGTAAATAATAATCATGTATCCAACTATTAGCAATGAAAGCTCCAAGGTGCTTTAATAAACTAGGGGATGCAGACTAACCCCCATTTTGGTGGTTGCTATTACTGACATTTTCTCATGAGTGTGATTGGTTAGGATGAAGCAACTCCGGTGGAAGGACGTGCACTTCATTTTCTCTTTGGGGCGGGGGATTGAAGAGAATGTCTGGTGAAGGTTCTGATTAAAATTGGGAGAAGAGAATCACTCTGCCCCTCCTCTTTGTGCCCCCCCCCTCCAGCCCCAGCACAAATTTTGTTTATGGCCACAGCTGTGGTTGTTTCTCAGGCAAAGCCCATGGCCCCAGCCTCTTGCCCACCCACTCAGACTTGGCTCTGAAGCCTTTCCTTTGCTGGCTGGAGCAATTCCTCCGTGACTCAGAACAGGGGAGCCTGGCCCGCATCCCCATCTGAGAAGGAAAGTTGGCCACATTACTGGGTGAAATTCAGCAGTTACGGGGCAAAAGGCAAGTCTGGAGTCATGATGATTACCACATTTTGGAAGTCACTCAGGAGCCCCCCCATCCTTTTCCTCCTCAGGGGAGAAATATCATTGCCTTCTTACTATAACAGTGTGGGGAGTTAAATAAGCTGTTTTGGCTAAGAGTTCCCTATGCTAACAAAAGCCGGATAATTTGAGTAAGAATTTATTTAGTCCCCAGTATAGAAAGACCCCTAGAGTATCCCTGAGGCCAGGTCAGAGGAAATGAAGTTCCATGTGGAACATTCCTCGTAAGCATGAGTTGCTAAGTATGAACCTGGGGTCTGTTCTCCCTGTGTCTTCTCACTAACTGTAGTGATTTCATTGAATAAAATACTCCCAAAGAGGAGTATTTTCACATTCTTTTCACATTTCACATTCTTTCACATTCACATTTCACATTTCTCTCTAACCATGTGGTTCCTCCAATCAATGGTCCACCTTCAGTCGATGTTGAGATATTGCTTTATTGACCAAGCTCCTGCTTTTCTCAATACAGTACACATTTAGGACTTTCTCATGTGTGAATCTTTCTGTGATAAAATAAATCATGTTCTGAAATGCTGGTGGGCATCAAGGATTGACAGACCGTCCTGACGCATCCATTTAATAGGAGACTCCAGCTCAAATGCCATTTTCACCTTGATGGAAGCAAAATTCCTTAAGAATTTGGTATTTCATCAAATTTTCAAAAAAGTTTTTTTTTTTTTTACCAGAAATAAAAAGTAAAATACATACTCTTACCCCACAGCCAGCTGCTTATTTAAGCATTGAAATTATTCAGGTGGCTGTCAGACTGAAATATTTGGAATGGGGCCAGTTTTATCTTCACTTTCTATAACATCTATGAAATACGATCCAGCAGCCCAAACGAGAATCCATTTCTTTTTGGTGATTGGAGGCTCCATAATTGAGTGATCGTAGAATCCTAATTGATGTTAAGATTCCCATGGATTTCTCCTTCACCACTCAATAAGGGTAATGAGGAGACTTCCCCCCCCAATGGTAATTATTTGGTCTCTGTCACAGATTTTCTTCTTTTCACAGCACCTGTAAACGAACCTACATCAGTCTTGTCTTTTAATCAGTCTTTTGCTTTATCCCAGATCCGTTTTTCCCCGTTCCCTTAGGTTGTTTTTTATCTTGTCTTTTCCGGGGGGAGGAGGGTGAATTAGAGCCTTGTTAGATGTGATTCCCTGCCCCTCCCCCAAGACATACTGAACCACCATACTCCAGGAAAAAACAGGGAAGTTGAAGTCAGGAATAACACTTCAATTGGACCCATGTTATCCTCTTTTTATTTTGAAAATATATTTGTCTTATACTTCATTTTATTGTGAAGGGCAGTGTGAAGATTAACACCATCCCTGATCAGATTCCTTCACGTGGTCTAAATGCTGTGCAAAATACCATATTCTTGAAGGGCCATCTGTCAAAACACCAGGGTCAAAATGAATCAATCTGAATTGCAGATGTGTTAATAAATCCCTTTGAAGGGCTTAAATATTTAATTAAAAACAAAGGCAAGCACGGAGGTCCTTTAAAAGCCATGTTGCCTGCTTTGTCTTTTCTGTAGGAAAATATCAATTACTCACATGTCTTTGAAAATGACACTGATGCAAACTTATTAGTAAATGTTCAGGAAAGACCAGCTAGCGTACACCAGTGTGTACTACAAAAGGAAGTCTAAAGCTTGCCTTTGAAACAGCACCTGTTCACAAAATAGTTTGGAAAGGAAAAAAGTCAAAGCTATTGCACCAACGTTGTGAACCTGTCCTACTCAGAAGAAACCTGCTTACACATTTGGAATTGGTCAATGGGATCCTTTATTGTAGTGAGTTTAAGGACGTTGGTTGTACGTCTAGATTTTAAGAGCTGTTATGACAGTTCTTATTTGTGTTTTGTTCAGTTCTTGGCCAGATCTGATGATTTATGTCTCTAAATAAAAGACTACTCCAGGCTCATTCGGTTAAACATCCGACTCTTGATTTCAGACTGAGTCGTGAGATCGAGCCCTGCACCCGGGCTCCGCGCTGAGCGTGTGGAGTCTACTTGAGATTCTCTCTCTTCCTCTCCCTCTGCCCCTACCCCCTCCCTCTCTCTACCTTAAAAACGAAACAAAACAAAAAAACTATTTTGGTTGAATTGCTGAGAATTCATCTGAACAGGTATTAGTGCAAGAATGAATTCCATTGGGAGTCTTTAAATAAATCCTCTAGGGTGGCAGTAATAGAAGTATACATAATTTTTTTTCAAAAGGAAATCAGGGTTTAGACAAACCTAAAGTTCATGACATGATTAAAACAAGTCATACGACAATGCGTACTTTAGGGTATAATTAAATATGAAGAGTCTACGATGGTAATGGTAGTTGTATGAAATTCTCAGTGGAACAACTGTAAATACCAGCTTTTTGACAAGAAAAGCACCATGAAAAAAGAAGGAAAAAAAAAAGCCAGAATCAAACTATAGTCTTTTAAAATCCATAGCAGCCATGACCTTTACTGTGAAAGCTTAACTGCACGTTCCTTTTCAATCAAAACTAAATTAAAATGAACTAAGAGAAAGCACATACATTAAGCTTTGCAAAATTGTGAAATTAATATTCCAGCTATGTCACCTTCGCCTGCATCGGGATTGAGCAAGGGGGAAAGAGAAAGAGAGATCAATTCCACGAGTTTTGGAGAATGTCAGAGTAAGGATCTGCTGAACACTTTTATTTCTCCATTATTATTCATACTGTTCGATGTTGCCATTGGTCCTGGGCGGGGGCGTGGGGTGTGCTGGGGAAAAACTCAGAAAAGGGAGGGAAGAAAGAGAACTGCCATGAACAGAAGCATTATGGCGCTCTTGTTGACCAAACACAGACCAAAGACAGGATGACATAAAAAGCAATGGGCACATTGTATCTAAGTCTGGAAATTTGTGTCTGTAGTAATGGAGACACCAGGAGGTTTCTCTGCAAACCTGGTGATTCCATTCTTTGTAATTATCAAAGGAAGTCTTTTGACTGCTTTATTGAGTTGTCCCTGGCATTACCAAAGGATGTAACTGCTGACATTGTCCCCTCTGCAAGGGCTTTAAAAAGGAAGAAAACTGGACAAAGTTTTCTTAGTTCTTTTTGATTCAGTCTCACTCAAAAAAAAAAAAGATGATATTAATATCAGAAAGATAATTCTTCCCTGCTCTATTCTTGTAAAATCTGCCTGAAATAAAGAAGAGAATAAAGCATTTTGGGGGAGTGGTCTAGAAACTTCGGTGCCCCTGGGAAGAAGTGGCAGCAGAGAACACAAAAGAGAGAACTCCTATAATTCTGTAACATGGTTCCCTGCTGCTTTATCACCTGCGTTATATATTTGGGTACGTGGAATTTGGTGGAAGAATATAATGGTTAAAATGCCAATGTCAAGGTGCCAAAAGACTTTCTTTGTAACATGTCTGTGTTGGTGTATCATGTTTGTGTCTGTGTTTTACTAGCTCATCATTGGCATCTTCAACATCCTTGGTGTCCTTGGGCATCTTCCTTTTCAACAGGAAGCTCTTTAAATAAATTTGCCATTTCCCCATTGATTGTCAGAGAGACACAAACGCTATTTTCCTATGGACTAAACTGAAAGATAAGCCTACGTCTTTTGGCCACAAGCACCCATACCATGACATTGGATGCCTAAATGAGCGACTGAAGGCAGAAACCTGCTACCTTTGGTGTCACTAGCATGGGCAAGTGTTCTTGTGTTAAATGATACTGAGAAAAATGGGTAGAGGCTGGAAGTCTCTGCAGAGATCCTTCCCTTGTTTGCAAAGGGCTCAGCAGACTTAAGGCAGACTCTGCCAGGAACCTAGAGCTGGCCGGAAAGCACCCGTGGTCTATTTTGGAAATAATCCTCTTGCTTGAGTGAACCCAAGACAGAGTCCCATCCTGATTTAATTTGTTGTTTCAGTGAAACCATTAGAGCAAATACCCTGTAGCCAGCTACTCGAACAGAAAGAAAATATCATTACCTTAGCGTGCTCAAGAAAATATCATTCTCAAATTGTGTTTAGGGGAGTCCTGTGATGTAGTTTAACTGCACATTCCGTGGAGTCTTGCAGCTTAGCCTCCGCAATTATAATTAAAAAAATGCACTGGGCATAAAGCACCATGTAAAGCCTATGGCATTAAGATAGCTCAGGAAAAAATATTGTATTCAAACTTCTCTGACTTGTGCTTACCTGTTCATTTAGTTTCTTCTCTCTCAGCGTATTCATACACCGTACATTTGAAGATAGTGGGTGAGTCACTCTTGCCAACTTGAAATCTAAACAACCGCCTTCTTCTTCCCTACCTCTGTACAAAATGGAAGAAGATGAGAACTAAACTCTTAGGCCTACACACTGCTTCAATCCCGAACCCAATTAATTAAATAAACCAGAAAGTATGTAGAACAGTATTTGAAAATCTCCTTTAGGATTCACTGCCACTAAGCCAGTTTTTTTCTTTAAATAAAAGATGTTTCATTTTAAAGACCATAAAACAGTCTCTTGTACACGTTAAAATACTAAAGAGGAACTAAATAGAAGTAACTTTTTTATTACCTTAGTTAAGCAACAGAGTGGTACATAGGACAATTTCAGGTAAATTTCAGGTATAGTGAACATCATCTTATAGAAATGATTTTTCTTCTAATAAATGAGGTTTTTATTTTAAAGCTCAGACCATTACTAAGAGTAAAATATCAAGTTATTGGATAATAAGTTAATACTTACAATTTTAAAATATGATAGGCAGAATCTGGAGCAAAGCGGTCATTCCAGTGATAAAGTAAGAAAATACGGAAAATTGACATTGAACGTTTTTGTAGTCACCATTCACGTTGAGAATATGGAAGGCTGGCTCCTTTTTGGTAATATGACTGAAATTATAATAAACTTTGAAAACTGGAAATATTAGGATGCCCAGGAGTAACTTTTGGCAAAAATGATCTAACAAAATCAAATTATTGGTTTGCCGATCTTGATTACTCTAGGGGGGAGAAAAGAGTGACATTTTTTAAAAAACTGAAAACTCTTTAACTCAAGCTGTTTTCTTTCATCCTCTACTTGGTATAACATCAGATGAGTTATCAGGGCTTCTAAATCCTAAGAGGGAGCTTCTGTTTCCACGGTCACGGTGACTCAGCATGAGCTCCCTCCTGAGACGTGGACACTCACTTTGTGGTCCAGCACGTGCTGATTTTAATTTACTTAATTTCTCTGGCAACAATACCAAGGACAGTGGTCAACACCGACTTCTGGCTTAGTCCGGGATAATGGCTGGGGCTTGATTAGTAATTATCAAACAGTGATGAGTCCTTTGAAAAAACTTAGGGCTCGGTGACCGGTCCTACTGTTTGTTTCTGCCTAGTGTCCTCTGTTATTTTATCCATCCAGATTATTTTGCTTCCTTCTCTGTTGGAATGCTGTCATGTGCTCAGGCACCATCAGGATTGCTCCTCTGTGTTCACCTCAATGGTATGATTCCTTTTAGCACAGAAATCACCTCCCTCTTCCTTCTTCTCCGCAGTTCCAGACTACCAAGAACAGGACATCTTCCTCTGGAGAAAAGAGACTGGATTTGGATTTAGGATTCTGGGTGGAAATGAACCAGGGGAACCTGTGAGTCTCTTGTCTACCTCTTCTCCCAGTGCTGTTTTCTAAGATATCAAAGCAAATTGGCAACAGTGACAAGTCACCGAGATTTGAGTCCAGCCATGTGCAACACAGACTGTTTCATTTCAAGCAGTGTGGGTTATTCGCTGGGTTTTGCGGAGCTCCTTTTGTCTTGAAGAAGAGACTCATTCCCTTCTTTAAAGTTTGCATTCATGTTTATAAAAAGTGGCAGCTCCAGCACCTGGAGCTCCGCATCAAAGAAAATGAAAACAAAAAGCAAAATAATAGGCATCAACTAATGAAGCAATGTCGTTATCCTTCCGGCCAAATCTGTTAAATTGGCCAGCAGGGAGTGGGCTTTGTATATAGCTAGTGCACGGAGAGCTCTTGACGAGACATGAAAGATCAGAGGAGGCAGGACTGCTGTCTTTACAAAAGTAGAGAAAGAGCCCTGAACAAGAGTCAGGAGACCTCAAACCTCCCTGGTCCTCAGTTCCCTCCTCACCTTTAGAACAAATTTGTATAACGTCGTAAGAATGTTTTGAAAGGAGAAAAGAGAACTAAAGATAAATACTGTTAACGTCTCTTAATAAAAAATAGCTGTTATTTATTAAGCACTTACTATGTGCCCAGACCCCATGCTAATGGCTTTTAACATACATTTTCTCATTTCTCCCTCAAATCCCAGAATTTATGCCCATTTTTCAAATTATCCAAGACACAGAAGGGTTAATTTCACTTGCCCAAGATCATAGCACTAGTAAGTGGAGGGACTGAAAGGGTCTGACTTCAGGGTCCACATTCTTAATCATTCTTTTGTCAAAGTTCTTTGTAAACTGTAAATACCATCTAAAGGTAGTTACAGCATTTTTATCTAGTGAGGAGGCAAGGAAAGCACAAATATTTTCGCTCAGGTTTAGTGAACGGTAAATGTAACAAGACACTAAATATAAAGACTGCTCTACATGCAGCTGCTAAAAGTACGGAAATGGGATCTCAAACCAGACTTTGCATGATTCATTGCCTCATTGAGCAGTATTTTTTGTGCATTCCCTATTGCTAGGCATAGAGCTGGACCTTTAAAGAAAATTAGTATTACTATTATAATTTCCAGAGTTTCCTAGGAGGGTTCTGAGGTAAACAGAGAAGGAGAAAAGATTTTGCAAATGAAGGAGTAAAGTGATGTATTTCTACAAAGGGGAAAAAGTGAGTTCTCAGATAAAGGTCAAGGAACCACGCAAGAAATAGTTACTTTTGGGACGCCTGGCTGGCTCAGTCAGAAGAACATGCAACTCTTGTTCTCGGGGTCGTGAGTTAGAGCCCCACATTAGGTGTAGAGATAACTTAAAAAAAAAAGGAATAGCTGCTTTTCCACCATTTAAGAATTACTGTAGCACCTATCACAATGGCCTGGTACCTGGTGGGTGCTCAATAAATGTTTATGGCATGGATGCAGACATGAATGAATGAAATGAATTGTTCTCAGAAATGTGAAGGCCATCGGTATAATAGTAAACCAAAAGGTCAACGTTTCATCCATCATCCAATTACTCAACAGATTTATATCGGTCACATTGTACCGCTGGGTGCTGCTGATACGGATGGCCGCCTGAGGTCTGGGGATGAATTAATCTGTGTGGATGGGACACCGGTAATTGGAAAATCACACCAGCTTGTGGTCCAGCTTATGCAACAAGCTGCCAAGCAAGGCCACGTCAACCTCACGGTGCGGCGTAAAGTGGTGTTTGCAGGTATGTTTTTCATTTATCCCTTTAGACAGTGCTTTGTCACTTTATGCACAGAAAAGGCGCCCTTCCTGTGTCTGCCTCCTCAAGCATCTATTTTAGCAAATCTTCGCAAATGTGATTAAGCTCAGACTTTCCAGATGGTTTCCTTCTCTCAACTCCAGCAAAACTACTGTCATTCAACAGTACTTTAATGTGCCATTCATGCACGTTCAGCGAAACCTTCTAGAAGAGGACTAGTTGAACATATACTCCCTCTCCTCATCTCTGTGCCAACCAGAACTTAGTCACCTCTTCACTTGATGTTAATTCTCAACAAAAGAGGTCATTATAAAAGGCAAGAACGCTGTAGCTTCAAGGTACAAGAACAAAAATTAGTTTTGTGCTGCCAAATAAGCTCATAAAAAAGTTAGTGATACCTTACTCTAGTGTTGCTGCTTGTCGTAGGTGAGAAGCCAAGGTTTGTTTTCTCTGTAAGAACGTCGTGGATCTGGCCAGTTCTTGGCCATCGTTGACTCCTTTCTCCTGCCTGTAAGCTTTAAAGTACTTGAATTCTCAAAACATACAAACCCTTTCCGGCTCAACTCAAATAAAACCTTCCCTGTGAAACCCTCAGAAATTCCCTCCTTCTTCCAACTCCCTTCCAATTTTGGCATTCCTCCCTTGCCATTTTTGTGAGTCATGGTTTACTTTTGTATCAGAATCTCCCATTTTGAGACGGCTCGTTGTGTAACTGTCTCCTTCCCATTCACTCACCAACGTCTTGAAAGCACACACCACATGGGATGTTCACTGTCTGCAGCCCCCACCTTGAAATAGTCAAGACAGAATGCAGAAAAAGCAGATTGTTATATCACTTGAATTACTGAAGAAATATGACATGAAATATTATCTTTTCTTCAGCACTTACCAAGTGAAATTAACTGGCCCTTTGTTAAAAAAAATTGTATAACTCACTTACATGGATTATATAATTAATTAATTATAGAATTAAGATATCAGAATCCAGTGTGAGAATCCTACCTTATTGAAACTGTGGAAAATGGTGTTAGTCAGTCATGGATTATGCCCAAAGAGCTCACTGATGGCCTCAGAATATTTTTTTTTTAAGATTTTATTTATTTATTTGAGAGAGAGAGAATGAGAGATAGAGAGCAAGAGAGGGAAGTGGGTCAGAGGGAGAAGCAGGCTCCCTGCTGAGCAGGGAGCCCGATGCGGAACTCGATCCCGGGACTCCAGGATCATGACCTGAGCCGAAGGCAGTCGCTTAACCAACTGAGCCACCCAGGCGCCCTCAGAATATTTCTTAAAATGGTACTCCGTGCAGTCAGTAGCAGTCAGTTAGAAATGGCTTTTGAGAAGGGATGAAAACGTTCAATTTCACTGACCCAAATAAAAATAATAGAGCAATGTGATTTTTGTTTGTTCCAGATTTGTTTTTTAAATATTAAATATTTGGGGGTTTTAGCTCTGAGCCAAAGACATGGTAAATCTATAAGAGACATTAGACTGAGTACAATAAGCTGGTCACAAAAGGGCAAACATGGTATGAATCCACTTATATGACAGACCAAGAGTAGTCAGATTCATAGAGACAGAAAGCCGAATGTTGGTTGCCAGGGGTTGGGGGAGGGAAAAATGGTTCCTTAGTGTTTAATGGGTACAGAGCTTCAATTCTGGAAAATGAAGAGGTTCTGGAGATGGATGGTGGTGATGGTTGCATGTTGCTGTGATTGGACTTAATGCCACTGAACTATACACTTAAAAATGGTTAAGACGGTAAATTTGATATTATATATATATTTTACCACAATAAAAAGAAATATATGAAGGGAGAACTTCGAGAATAAATGTCTTACGCAAAACCCGAACACGCATTTTGTTTGTAGCATCAAACCTGGGTCACTCCTGCTTATTATTTTGGCAATTTTGGTATGCTTTATCCTCTCACCTACTGAAGCAATAAAACTGGAACTGTGAGGAAGGCTGACATACCCAGGAGTGTGATCAGAGTAGACAGTGACATCTGGAAAGTAGGAAGAGAAACTAAGTATACCTCTGACAGGTGTTGTCAAGAATCCCACAATAGGGTAACTTTAATGGTAAAGTCAACGTGCACAGTCCGACCTGATGGAAAAATGGAAAGCAACGCTGCTTGGCAAGCTGAGCAGAAGTGTGACTCTTGAGGGTAATGACAAGGTGAACGTGCGCTTAGGTCCCTGCGGTAAAAGTGGGAGTCCTTGCGGGTGTGGACCACACTTGCGCTTCTGCTCACGTTCCTGTGATTCCTGCGCGGGAGGCAGTTTGGAGGGGCCCCCCCTTGCAGCCGTATGGAGCCTGAGAGCGGATGCCCATATTCAGTAGGCTTTTGTCCCCTGGGGTGTCTCCTGTGGGCTCCTGGCAGGAGCTTCGGGACAGGAGCTACGTGCGGGACAAGGGGCTGGGGTCTCGTTGCACACTATGGCGCCGGCAGCGGGGCCGCCGAGCAGGGGGCTGGCTGAGCCGGGCCTCCGTCTCTTTCTCTCTCTCTCTCTCTCTCTCTCCCCCTCCCTCCTGCAGCCCCGAAAGCCGAGAATGAGGTGCCGTCGCCGGCCTCCTCCCATCACAGTAGCAACCAGCCGGCATCGCTGACCGAGGAGAAGCGCACCCCGCAGGGCAGCCAGAACTCCCTGAACACGGTGAGCTCTGGCAGCGGCAGCACCAGCGGGATCGGGAGCGGCGGCGGCGGCGGCAGCGGTGTGGTCAGCACAGCAGTGCAGCCCTACGACGTGGAGATCCGGCGCGGTGAGAACGAGGGCTTCGGCTTCGTCATCGTGTCCTCAGTGAGCAGGCCCGAGGCCGGCACGACTTTCGGTGAGTGTCCCGTCCGCTCCCCCGCACCTTCCCCTGACGCCGGTGGCGAGCGTGTTGTGTTGCAAGGGCAAGATGACCAAATTCTCAGTAACAGAAATGCCTTCATGCTTTTCGCCGCAGGTAATTACAGTCTTAATTGGGGATGGAGAGTGTGTTCGGTAGCTTTTCCCTTCCTGAAGGTTGGATTTTTTTTTTTTTTAATCTTTCAGCTTCCATGCAGAATGCGTGTTCACATGCATACAGCTTCGAGCATAAATGGAATTTGCATGAAATTTGATGAGCGACCCCTTGACAGTGTAGAGTGAGCAATCCTTGGCAAAGAATGCATTTGTGAGGTCCTTAGGATATCAAGAATAGCAGAAGCCTCACCAGGTGGAGGAGGTTTTGGAATAAGCTTATGGTGGTAAAAATGCCTAGGGAACAATACAAGTGTAAAGAGTAAACATGATCATGTGAAGTGCCCGGTCCAGTTTGTCTGTGTCCTTTCTCTACCCTAACCCCATCGGAAATTTTTAAATGTTAAATAATGTTTTTACCATTGTCTGCTTAAGAATCTAGTTAAGATCTGAGTTCAGAGCCATTTGTCTTCACGGTCCTTGAATCCCAGCAGGGCTGATTTTCCCGTCTCATCTGGATGTTGGGGGTTTCAGCAGAGTATGGAGAAATCCAATTGTCACCCTCTCAGAAGGTTAACTGATGGGTATACTAGCAGAGACAAACAGGACCCATGTGATTCCAAGAACCTAGTAATCTGTGAATCTGTTTCCTGTTAGAATGGATTATAAAAATGTACTCCAAATATCCATCTTCTTCATTAGATTAAAAAGTCACCTATTAATCCCCCAAGCACATTTGTTCATTAATACAGAATAGGAGGGGAGATGGGGAAGGGCTATGCAGGCTTTGAAATTTACACATTTCTATCCCCAAATGACTTGTCCACAAGAGTCCAATGACCTGTGTGTGGCCCAGGTCACTGCTGGCTAAGATCAGGCGAGGTGCTCCATCCCTTCAGCTTTCTGATCCGGTAGAACTCCCTTTACCTTTGTACCTTGCTTCCTGCTAAAGCCATTTCCCCTGAGGTCTGTTCATTAGGAGACTGAGTCAGTCAGGTCTATGCATGTGTGGCTGCAGTAACAAATGCCCGTTACTAACAGTGCTTTTGGGAGCTACATTAATAAAGTTATCACAGCATGTCATGAATGGATGACTGGATGCCAAGGCAAGGTTTTTGGGGTTTTGTTTGTAAATTGATTCGGGGGACTTTTCTGCTTAATATAAAAATCTAAAGAAAGGCAAAGGGAGGAAGAATTCCCATTGCTTTCTTCAGATCTACAATTTGATTGTCCCTATGCACCTCCTGATGTTCTCAGGATTTCAGAATTGTCAGTTTCACTTTTTACAATGAGATAGATATGTCAGGTGGGAGGCTATGTGTTATTTAATGAATACTGAACGTCTTCTCACAATTTGGTCTTTGTTTTCCTCTGGCTCTTCTTACAATAAACAAATTCAACTTTCCCTAATACCTTGCATGAGACTTCTGTTTCCAGCTGTGCAGAGCTTTCCTCACACCTGCTGTTTGACACCTTTCTCATGTGAGTTGTCCATGGAGAGGGGCTAAACTTAATCTGGACCTTGAATTTGAGTATGGAAGCCTAACAGACCTGCCTTTTGGGTTCCAAAAGACCGTTTGCTTCCTTTTTAAAGATTCTGTGGCCTTGACCTTACATGCAATGATACACACTCAGGCAAATATGCCAAAATTCAAAGAAATTGTAATGTCTTCCCACGTTTTATCCTCAAGGTCCAAATTATGACAGAATCGCCTATTCAGTTTCATTGTCTCCCACGTTCATTTTATCACCCTCTCCAAAAGGCGACTCACCTGCCTAACTAGCTTCACAGTCCTCAGAAAGATGAATTCTCAGAATAGGTAAATATGCATTTAGCTGCAGACCCTATGTCAGGACTGAAAGCCAATCTCCCACCCCTCTCTAGAAGTTAGCAGTACTCGTGGTCGTGACATGGGGTGAGTGCCTCAAAGTACACAAAAAGCTTTCCTCTTCACATGCCCCTTTCCTGGTTTTCTTATTGTAGATGTGCAGTAACTGATCATGAGGAAGGAAATGATCAGAGTTTCCAAAGGGCTGAGGAAGGATTTGAACCTGGCTTTGGATCACTGCCCTTAGCCTAAGTAGATCCCAGGTTTTCAGAGTCCTTTGAGGGGATTTTTTGTGAGAAAGGAGGAGGATTTCAGAGCTAATGAGCCACCGGGGCCTTACCCTGAAAGCATAGGCAATAGGCTGAATCAGGAACAAAGGTCATAAAAGGAAAAATAGGGGTCAAGGTTGGGTGGCTTTTTTGGCTCTTGTAATTATGCCTTTTTCCTAAAGCTTTCATCCTTCTGGAGAGAAGGCAGCAAGACTAAGTGCTTGTTCATTAGGTGTTTTCAGAGGGAATTTTGGCGGTAGCAGACTCTCCCGCCTCACCAGACGCCTAGTGATTCTTTTTTCTGGAGAAAGAACAAAACATTGGCAGAAGCTTGAACAGCATCTGGCAAAAATGAAGGGACGCGAACACAGAATGTGGAAGAACATCCACCCCAGCTCTGGGCTTCATATTTGCAGACCCAAAATAAGCCAACGGCGAGTTATTTTGGGGCTGTTGAGAACCTCTGAAGTTGCCAGCTATCACAAATTGTGTCAGCGATCGAAGGAGGGAAGCTGGGGTTTTCCCCACATTTGGAAGGGGGGCAGGGAGTGCAGCGAGGAGCGGCCCCCCCACCCCGACAGGCCCTGAGTGTTGCCAATGTTTTGACCATCGGCACAGAGCTCTCCTTTAATAACATTTGCTTAATGCTTTACTTAATTAACACTTAACCTTCTCTTTCCCTTTTCAACCCTTTTTCTCCTCCCTTCGCTATATTCCCACGTAACTTAAAAAAAAAAAAAACAAAAACCTCAATATCAAAGCAGGCAATGCATGTGTGGCTATGCCTCACAAAATAGGTCGGATTATTGAGGGGAGTCCTGCTGACCGATGTGGCAAGCTGAAAGTGGGAGACCGGATCCTGGCAGTGAATGGATGTTCCATCACCAACAAGTCCCATTCAGACATTGTCAACCTAATCAAGGAAGCAGGAAACACAGTTACCCTCCGCATCATTCCTGGGGATGGTAAAGTATAACTCTTGTGTCTCTCATTCTCTCCCGAGCTCTTCCTGGGTCTCTCTCTCTCTCTTTTTTCTCTGTCTCCCTCTCATCAGGATCCATGTCACTGAAGAATGTTGCTTTAGAGGCAGGCTTACCCATCCGTAACCGAGCATACCCATCCTATGGATGTAAGCCGTCCTTACCAACCCTTACCTCCCCCTCCCCTTTACCTAATCCTCTTTCCCTGTGACCCTGTCTTGCTGCAGATACAAACATTACAGAAAATCTTAACTTTCCGCATTTTATTTTGGTTTTGGTACCCTTGTCCTTACAATGATAGAGTGGTTTGAATACAGGTGGTATAAGATCCTCTGATGTTCTATCTGGAAATGATTAAAGATTTTTTTTTTAAAATCACTAAAATTTAACTGTATGATGGGTGCCTGACTGGCTCAGTCAGTAGAGCATGCGACTCTTGATCTCAGGATCGTGAGTTCAAGCCTTACCTTGGGTGTGGAGCCTACTTAAAATGAAATTAAATTAATCAAATCAAATCAAATTTTTAAACTAAAATTTAACTATGATATGGTAACATCACAAAACCTACACAATGACAATTCAGAGCCAATACTTTTTTTTTTTCCAGAATAAGTGAATATATGAAAGGTTTCTGTTGAATAAAGAGATCCTTAGGGTTTGTGCTTACTTGGTTTGTCTAATTTTTGCATGTGGTTAGAGAAAGAATAAAACCTCTTTTTTGATAGGTTATATCTACATTAAACTAGGCCTATTCTTGTTTGTTAGTTTGCTTGATTATTTGATTGGTTAAATTCAAATCTTGTTTCTTTTACACCATTGGTGATTCTGCCCCCTAGGGGACATTTGGCCTTGTCTGGGGTGGGTGCTAATGGCATTTAGTGGGTAAAGGCCAGGGATGCTTCCAGACATCCTACAGTATACCGGATAGCCCCCCCACAATGTAAAGTTATACAGCAGAAAATATCAATATTCGTTATTCATATCTTTTTTTAAGATTTATTTATCTTAGAGGGAGCGAGTGCAAGAGTGCATGGGAGGAGCAGGGGTCCGAAGGAGAGGGGGAATGAGAATCCTGAGTAGACTGCGCTGAGCACGGAGCTGAAACAGGATCTGATCTCCCGATCCTGAGATCATGACCTGAGCCACAATCAAGAGCTGATGCTTAACCGAGCGAGCCACCCAGGCGCCCCACTCATTATTCATATTTAATAAAAATGAAGTTGATACACTGATGTCACTAAGTATAGATTCTTCAGAGAATTAAGTCCTGAATACTGACTTCATGTTAAGCAGACTTTGCCTTTGGGAGGAAAGTGATACTTGTCTCAAATGTTTCAATGTCTTTTTTGTTTGTTATAACTATACATGTTATAAAATAAAATACGTATTCTCAAAGTCAGTATTTCTCAAGAAGAAAATGTGGTTTAACGAGATAGTGTGATAGAAATTCTATGTCCTTGGGGCGCCTGGGTGGCTCAGTCGTTAAGCATCTGCCTTCGGCTCAGGTCATGATCCCGGAGTCCTGGGATTGAGCCCCGCATCAGGCTCCCTGCCCGGCGGGGAGTCGGCTCCTCCCTCTCCCTCTGCTCCTCCGCCTTGCTCGTGCTTGCTCTTTTGAATCCCTCAAATAAATAAATAAAATCTTTAAAAAAAAATTCTATGGCCTTGATCGTAAAATAAAATCAGAGATTTTATCTGAAAATAATTCATCAAATGAGTATTTTTTATAATTGTTTAGAAAGTGATCCCTATTCGTTTCAAATTCAAGTGGTGTAAACTGAGCCTCTCAGAAAAAAAATAAATCGTAAACCAAACAATAAATACTTGAAAATTGTCGGTTCCAAAACCAGAGAATTTTCTCTGAGCCAAAATACCCCATACCAAATGTGGAGGAAAAAAGAGCTCCTTGATTGCTGGTCTACTTCACCCTACCTCAGATGCATGGTTAGTAATTTACCATGTGGTTTGGAGTCCATTCCACCAGCTCACCACTCTGAAAGGCAAATTACAATTTAGGAATGTGGTCACAGGATGATAGAACATAGGTTCCTAATGGAAAGGATGAAGGAAGCCAGAAAAATTAAGTGAGAAGTGGTTGAGAGAGCCAAATGTAGTATATAAATTTAGACACATCTATCTACATGCTGTAAAGAGATTTCAAAAAACTAATCCAGAAGAAGGCAACACAGGCATTGAACTTGCTTTGTCTATATCGGTCAGTCTTAATGTGGGAAGGATAATGTCCAAAGATGGAAGGAAGGAAAGAATGTACTCCTTGAGGGAAGGGCTTAGAAAAAGAGTTTGAAATCAGGAAAGATACAAATATGCAGAATCCAACTTATGCTACTGTGCACATACTAGGTATTGACTTAATTTAATAAAGTGCAATGGAAAAGTTTTAGAAAATCTGAACACCAAAATATGCAGTGCGAGGTGAATTACCCAGTAGCAGTTGTCAATAAAAAGGCAATTTTTTTTAAATTTCAGTACTTAGAAAATATAAAATTCAGGTAGACACATCACATACTCTCTTGACTAGAAGAAAGTAAACATGACAGCTAATTCAATGTAGTTGAGGACCGATGTGCTGCCCAGGATGTGATTTCATCCCAAGGTACTGCAGCCGTTCATTGCCATGATAATAAGATTCTTCATCAATTACTTTGTAAATTTTGGAAGCCAGGTAAAGGAAATCAGTTCTGACAGAGGGTGGATTTCTGATGCTTATCTTTTTAATGGGGCCAAAAATGGCCATCTTGGAAATTAAAATTGATGCAGGGGAGTCGGATTTCTGGAGAACTGTTGGAACAATCCAAGAGAAGTTTGCAAACACCTAGAAGACAGAGTGGCCATTAATGAAGGTCTGATGAAGAGAGACACATGGCAGATCACTTGCTCTCTGCGAAGGTGTGTTAGACGTGGAGAACTGTAGAATAAAAGGGAGTGTATGTTAGGGACCTCTGCTCTCCTTCAAACCTTTCACACGAATGGTCAATTCATCAAGTAGCCCAAGACAGTGTTTGTGTTGTGGTCCTTGTGAGGAGACTGAAGTTCTTAGAAACCCATGTTATCCAGAGTACTGTTGTCAGAAACCCTGGGAGGCACTTCAAGGAGATGGGAAAACGTGCTCTTTTTTGGGCAGTGCTCGGAACCCACTCCGGATCCACTTGTTTCCCTAGCTCCTGCTGCCTGATTCTTTTTTCTTGTCATTGCTCACCTGGTACTTTTTCCAACTTACTTATCTCTGTACTTTCCCTAACTCTGCTTCTCCATTTTTCTGTGCCCTCCCTGGCTCCCCATTAGCTTCCTTCAACCAAGACCAGGAAACATGACTTTCCTTTATTTGGCTTACTCTGTTCCTAGAAGGCCTGCCTTCACAGGTCTTGGACAGGCCTCGATCAGGGGGTCCTCTCCATCTCTGCTTTTACTGTCTTTGGGACTAGAGTGGGAGGTGCAGTGGGGGCAGGACATTTTCTCCTATGAGATATGGGCAAAGCATAATAAATACGTAAGGGCAGCACAGAAAGGCCCAGAGAATAGATGAACATACTGAATCTGAACTTGAAATTTGACAGGTCAGACACACATGTTTCCTACCACTTGCCTTCTATAGAAATAGTCTGTGAAATCTGGGTGGGAATGAGACTTTAATCAGAAAGAGCAGACCCTTGGCTTATTCAAACTGACACAGAACTGTCAGTATGAGTCAAGTTCTAGATAATGAAAATACTTATAAACTTAATAAATTACTTAAGTCTTAAATTTGTACTTCAGATCACTCTGATTCAAAGTATTTGTTATATAGTAGGTAAGGGCATGGCAACCCAGACATTGCCATTTCCTTGGCAAAGGCATAGAATAGTATAAGTATCTTAATAGAAGGCTCTGTGGATATGGTAGCTAGCAAAGGGATAGGGCAAAAGGAACAGGGTTGCAACCATAACACGTTTTAAGTCTCCCAAAGTTTCGAATATTTATGGCATTCAAATTTTCAAACACTTCCTTTAGATATTTATTACATGTGTGTTTATGTATTCAAATATTTATGAAAGGAATGATTGTATCCTCTGTTCATTTGTTTGGCTTTGTAGTGTGGATTCCGTAAGGGATGCTAAAGGTATTAACATGAGGGCTAGGTTGGAATTGTGATCACTTGTCAGGGAGCTATTGAAACCCAGGGTAGAAGTTCCTGTCAGAAGTTAGTGCCCTGATTTAGCCCCACACCGTGACAGTACCTTGAGAGCCAGGATATGCTTTGCTTGAGACACGATTGCTATGGAAAGTGTAGTAATATTCATTTTCATTCCTCTGGGAGAGCTAAAGTTGGTGTAAACACTGTTTAATAAAGGATGTAGGATACTTTCTGGAATTTATCATAAAAATAGCTAATCTGTTCATCTATCTTTGAGTTTTAAAAGTCAAATACATTGACATTCATTCATAATACTGTGCTGGAGTAGGCTCTTTTATCAGGCCCTTGTTATATGAGGCAAGTTTTATTTTAGGATGGAGCTACAGATTTGTGATAATGGCCTTCATCTCTGTATTTTATAAAAAGCTAGAGAGAATTTCAACACAAAAAGTCTTGGTTTAATTCTAAATGAAGACTTAAAAGTTTAATAAAATAAGTATATCTTTATTGATATTTAGAAAGCATCCTGGAAATCCAGGGTATGCTGAAAATTATTTAAGTGCTTAGAAAATGGCTCATGAAATCTAGAGTCAGAGCAGGGTATTTTGCTTTTTAATTAAGCTATGATAGTTGGTGGTATTTATGTAGTAAAATAAAGGCACTGCTTATTTGAAAGGAACATACCAATTAGGTATGATTTCCTTGATACCAACACATAATTCCCTTGTAAATGGAAATAAGACTCTGGATGACTTTGGACATGTTACCTGCCTTTCCTTAGCCTAAATGTCTCCATCTGTAAAATGGGAGAATAATTGCACCAATTTCATCGAGTTGGAAGAATTAAATAGTGCATGTGGATCAAGCTTGGCACTTCGTAAATAATCAAGAAACGGTGGTTGTTCATAGATTAAGAAATACAGCGGTAGGAGGAAAATTCAGTGAGCTCAAATAATCATTTGCATAAAAATGTTAATTTTTTAAATGCTTAAAGTTAATCTTCAATGCAAAACAGATTTGCGTATAAATATGCAGAAAATAGCAAATGAAGGATAGGAGGCAGATCAATAAAAGAATTCTATTTATATGTGTATTGAGTGATTATCTGTCATATCTCATCAAATCATGGAAGCGCAGAAATTAAAAAAAAAAAAAAACTTTCAGAATGAGATCTGATCTGCCTTGAAAAACCCTGGCTACCAAAAACACACAAGAACTCGAAAGGGGAACTCCTGCACAATTCAGTAATTATAATCACTTTAATTATAAGGAAATGTTCTTTTTGGTATCCTGATTATGATTTCCCCATGGCCCGAACAATCTTGTGATTTCCCAGAGAGTCTCCATAAAATTAATTACAGTGAGCAATATGAATTTTTTTTAAAGGACCAATACATGGGTTGATGAAAATTCTGGTGAATCATATCGATAGGCAGTGCAGTCTCTTAGTCCATTGTTCTGACACAGTGGGTGTACTTTATGGAAAATCACATAGATTTATCAACTTGGTTGTGCCAGTTAACTACACCCATAAAAATGCACTAATAATACGGTTTTAATATTGTGATAACAGTAATCAACACATGCTCCCAATAAAAAATGTGCTAATCATCTTTTGTATGGTTTTTATGTGCCAGGCACTATCCCAAACACTTTGCTCTCAGATAATCTTTACATGAATTTTCTTAGATACTCCTGTTGTCCCGCATGTACAGAAGAGAAAACTGACTCATAGAAAGTTTAAGTGACTTTGCATAAGTCCCAGCCAGGAAATTGTAGAGCTGGGGGGTGCACATAGCCAGACATTCTGAGCCTGGAATCTGACCTCCTAGTAGGACTTTATGCTAAGCTGCCTCCGGTGAAGCTTGAGAAGCACCACCTCCCCTGCTCAGGGGATTGCAAGGTATATTGGCATAGTAAAGGTTCTGAGGACGCTCAGAGGCAAAACAAAATACAGATACACAAAAACACTTCCCTCTATTTCACCCATTATTTCTCATCCTTAATTGACCACAGGTTCTTCTCCCTCAGAATCTGTAGGTTTAAACAGACAATGGGAAACTTGTCCTAAAGATGAATTGGATTCACTTTATAGTTTACTTGATCTAGTTACATTTTCTTCTTAAACTTGTGCCTTAGCTCTCAGCATCATGGGCTTTATAGGTGGAATATAGACTGTTAAAATCATAATTCCAACTTTCCCATTTTGCAGAGAGTTTAAGTTCCCATGATAATAAATCAAAAGTAGAAGTGGTAGCAAGGGCCATAGCTACAATAAAGGTGTATTGGGTGCTTACTGTATGTCAGGTACTGTACTAGGCTTTCCATACAATTTTTTGTGTGTTTTTTTATTATTATGTTATGTTAATCACCATACATTACATCATTAGTTTTTGATGTAGTGTTCCATGACCCAATGCTCCATGCAGTATGTGCCCTCTTTAATACCCATCACCAGACTAACCCATCCCCCCACCCCCAAGCTTTCCATATACTTTCATCAAAGAGCAGAGTTATGTTATCATCCCCTTCTATCAGATGAGGGAAATAAGGCATACAGCTAACGAGTGGGGGAAGGGGGATTGGATCTCAAGCCTGTGATTTTAACTGTGTAATGAAATAAAATAATAGGAAGCCAGACCCAAGCTGAAATAATATCCTTAGGAAATTAAAATGGAAGACCACAAGTAATTGGCATTTCTGGGATGTCCTGTCACCCAGGACTACAGTGGAGAAGAGATGTAGTCCAGGTATCCCAGGTGAGACTACTTAACACATTTTCCCATAGAAACTTTGTTATACATTATGGATGGATATATGTAATCTGCAAGCATTAGGATGCCTACTCTGAACCACAGGACTCCTAGAAACTTATAGACTTCATTGCACACTATGAATTAAATAGGCATTCATAGGCTAATCTTAGAACCTAATGACCATATTTAGTATTTTCTTGATGAGAAAATATATGCCAAGTTCCAAATAGTCGACCTAAAAAATAAATACTAAAAGAGCAGCTTCCTCATAGCTGCTTGCTATCTGCCTTGATCTTAATGGAGAAATAATTAGTAAAAGACTATATAACCATTACTATATAAGTGATTACATTTTAATATATGCATGTTGGTATGCAGTCTATAGGGCATGCTCATTACATTAGGGTGGCTTCATAATTTATACAACTTATGTTTATAAACTCTGGCTCTAACTAATGCAAGTTTAGAAATTAATCTTTCCTCAGTGATACTAGAGGAGATCTGTGAAGAACTCCACATTTTCAGTTGTTTTTCATTAAAAGCAATGGGGAAGAAGGTAGATGTGTGTGCGTGTAGTTAACAAGATGTTAGCACACTTCTGATTTTAATATTCACCTGAGGAAATCAAGCAGACTCACTAAATATTGCTGGTAAATTGCAGGAAACATTAGTCTGTAACATTCTGGGGAGAAGAGCAGCACCGGTGGGCAATGTTTTGACACGGGAGTGCCATTTTTAAGTGTCAGGGAGGGAGGGAGAGGGGGAGAGACACCTCCTCCCTTGGCTACAATTCTAGAGTAGCATGTTGTGGGGCAAACTCTTTAGTTCATCTGTGGGGATATCATTTGGGAGGAGGGTAATGGGGACATACATGCCTCATATCACAGAAGATCTTAGAATGATTCGTTTAAGTCTTCGTAGTTTAGAAGTTCATGTCAGAACTGCTTCAAACAGTGACAGAGAAACTAGACTTGTCATTCATATATGGCACTTCTGCATCCCTCCTGGTTTGATGATCTCTTCTCCAGGGCCCTCATTCTGTTATGCTCTGTCTCTCCCTGCAGAGTCTTCAAATGCTACTTTGCTGACCAATGCAGAGAAGATTGCCACCATCACCACCACACACACCCCTTCTCAGCAAGGGGCCCAGGAGACCAGGTCAGACATAGCTTTAGTTGCTTTTGTTAGGTTTAAGGGAAAAAATTAACTCCTGGCCTGATGATACTCATCCTTGATTCTTTTTTTCCTATTTCCCCATGGTTTGCTTTTACATTTATTTCTCTCACTTTGGCAGGAATACCACCAAACCAAAGCCAGAATCTCAGTTTGAGTTCAAAGCACCCCAGGCAACACAGGTGAGAGCCATTCTTCTTTTTTCTCTGTTTGCTTTGTACATTTCCTTCCAACTTTCTGAAGCTGTTTTTATGAGATATCTTTTATAAGATACCCTCAATTAAAATAAATAACCTTTTGTGAGAGGATGTACTAAATATGTACTCAAATTTAATTGTCTAGGAAATGACATTTTATTTTACTACCTTTGAAAAATATTCCTAGATATCCTTTTTAGGTGGGAAAAAACAAACAAAATAAAAAAAAACCATAATTGTCTCAGGGACTGGCCATCAGAGAAAGAGCAAAATTGCTAATATCTACTCACGGTATTCATAACTGTGTTTATGCCAAGAAAATGTCTTTTTTTGTTAAGGTGTTTCTCAGCCTTGTGAATTTCAGGTGAGACCCATAGAGCTAACTGCCCGTCCCACAGGGTAGGAAGAGGGGATGCACAAACATGCAGGTGAAGCAAATATGGGAAAAGCAGATATGGTTGAGCAGGTTCATTTTGACTGGCCTTCTTAGAGCCTTCAGCAATCCATTCATGCTTCTCAGCCAGGGTAGCAGCCACTCCCCAGATGTGAGGAGGTCGTTGTTGGTGTCCTAGTGATAGACTCTGCTGCCGTTTTCCAGGCGTGGGGCACGGAGGGTGAACATCCAGCACTGTGCAGGATGGTATTGTGTAATGACTTTCCCTGCCACAAATACGATCTGTGGCCTCCCTGATTAAATTTTAATATATCCATGTTGAGGTGCAGGCTACAGGCACTCTCATGAATGTTTTCAGATTCTGCATCTGCAAACTTCTAAGATGAATGAATATTAATAAACAATTGAGAATCACCAAGAGAAGGATAGAGACCATGCCTTTTTGTCAAATCACATGACAGAGAATATTTGGAAAGAGGTGGGAAGAAATATGGGCAGATATACGCTCACCCCCAAATGATTACATTTTGGTTTTTCTAAATAGGAGCAAGATTTTTACACTGTGGAACTGGAAAGAGGAGCCAAGGGATTTGGCTTTAGTCTTCGAGGGGGCCGAGAATATAACATGGACCTCTATGTTTTGCGCTTAGCAGAGGATGGTCCAGCAGAAAGGTGTGGAAAGATGAGGGTAAGTAGGAAGACGGGTCTGGACAAATAAGTCATCTGCAGCGACTTTTTGACATGACGCAGCTAGAACCTTCTTGTTCCTGAGAACTGCATTTTCTACTGTTTTCAGGACACTAAATGCACGACTCCCACTCCGTAAATCTCTCCCTAAAGCATAGTTGGTGGTAGCTGCTCAAGTTAGGTGAGCCCTTTTAACTCTTCAGGGTGGAATGAAGGATTGAAATGACTTACAAATTTATTGAAATAAATACTTTCTCAATCCCAGTCCCATAGTTCTTATACTTAATCTCATAAGGCAGGCACATCACCTCACAGGAAATCCTAGGTATACCAGGATGCTTACAGAGCAGGGAAGGCGTGTAGTCCTGTAGGTTCTGGGTGATGAGCTCCATTCAGTCTCCAGCTAGTCACCAGCTGTGTTACCTGAGCCTCAGGAGCAGGTCAGCTCTGCCCCAGCAAAGGGCCAGCAGCTCCATGGCATGAATATTCCTGGTTGCTCTGTAGTAGTCGAACCTGCAAATTTCAAATATACAAATGCCAAAAAGATCACTCTGTTCTGTTTAGATATCTCATATCTGTTACTATGCATGCATATGTCACTTCCCTGGGGGGATCAGGTGGTTTAAAAAAAAAAAATCATGTCATTATAGAGAAGTCACTTAGATTGAGGCATATGCATAGGGAGCAATTTGCTACAAAAGAAAAAAATCAAGACAGCCAGAACAAGAAAGGAAAAAAGCACATGGAATTGGTCCAGAGCAAAGAGGGGATAAAATAGTGACCAAGGGTAGGGAACTTAATATTTGTATGTAAGGCATAATATTGCTTTTTAAGTTTTTTCAGGTTGAATTTTTTAAAAAAGATTTATCTATCTATCTATCTATTTATTGAGAGAGAAAGAGCTGGGGAGGGGCAGAGGGAGAGAATCTCAAGCAGACTCTCTGCTGAGCACGGAGCCCAACACAGGGCTTGATTCCCGTGACCCTGAGATCATGACCTGAGCTGAAATTGAGAGTCAGACACTTAATCGACTGAGCCACCCAGGCGCCCCCAGATTGAATTTTTAATGAGTGGGTTTTTTTTAGTTGAGAAAGTAGACCATGAAAATGGCTATAGAAAATTAGTGAAAAGTGGTACATATTTTAAAATATAGTTTCTAAAGTCAAACCATATTACCAATTTCTTGTATATTCTTTTGTGCATATATATGTACAATTTGTGCACATAGGAATAGAGACACTATATACGGCTTTTGTTTAAATTTTAAACACATGGGGTATGCTTTTCCATGTCCTTGCTTACTGAAAAAGGTTTCTGATTGAACGAACTGTCATTATCATGCTATTTCGTATTATGCTGTATAGTTCACAGGACACATTTACGTGTCTTATCCAATTTGGTCCTCACACCTTGGTAGGGATGGGTTGTTAACATCCCCTTTTATGGATGAGAAAGTGAGTTCCAGGAAGTTAAAGGATTTGAGCAAGATTAGTTAGCTAATAAGTGACAGGACTCAAATTTAAGGCTTTAATCTCCAAAGCCAGTGCTTTTCCTCTTCTGCCTTCTGGAAAATAAGCTCCCTGAGCGTATTTTATCTCCAGTGCCCTATAATAGTAGCTGACACATAGTAAATGCCACATCTGTGTATCAGTCAGGGTTGTGGTCTCATCAGAAAACTCACCCGGGGAGGGACACCTGGGTGGCTCAGTCGGTTGGACGACTGCCTTCGGCTCGGGTCGTGATCCCAGGGTCCTGGGATCAAGTCCCGCATCGGGCTCCTTGCTCGGCGGGGAGCCTGTTCTCCCTCTGCCTGCTGTTCCCCCTGCTCATTCTCTCTTTCTCTCTCTCTGACAAATAAGTAAAATCTTAAAAAAAAAAAAAAAAAAGAAAAGAAAGAAAGCTCACCTGGGGAAGCATTTGCTTCTAAGCTCACTCACAGGGTTGTTGGCTGGATTCGTTGCCTCTTGGGCAGTTGGGCCTAGCTCTCCCTCATTTCCTTATCATGAACTCTGTGGGGCAGCTCACCACATGCATCAGAGTGAACAAATGAGACAATAAAAGAGGGGCACATAAGACAGAAGCCAAAATTATTTTGTAACCTTATCTTTGAGCTGACATCCCTTCCCATTTGCCAGAAGCAGGTCACTAATTCCAGCCCACATTTGAAGGGAAGGAGATTACACAGGATATGAATGTAGGGAGGAAAGGATTGACGGGGTGGGGGAGGCATCCTAGAAACTGCCTACCACATCTTCTTTTCCTGAACAATTAATATTCCCTTTACTGCTTCATCTTTTTTTCCCTTAGCACTTAACACTTTCCAACATACACATATGTCTCTAATTTTGTTGTTAATTGTCTTCCATTAGCATGTCATCTCCATGAGGGCAGGAATTTTTTTTGTTTCCTTACCTGCTGAATCCTAAGCAACAGGAGATTTTCTGGAATATACTCAATAAATAGTAAATCACTCAATGAAAGAATTTTAAAGCATAAAGCACCTTGATAGCTGGTCAGACCCTTTGTGACATTATCACTCTTGTCTCTTGCTTTGGCAGATTGGTGATGAAATTTTAGAGATCAATGGCGAGACCACCAAAAACATGAAGCATTCTCGGGCTATAGAACTGATTAAGAATGGCGGCCGCAGGGTGCGTCTGTTTCTGAAGCGGGGAGACGGCTCAGTACCAGAATATGGTGGGTCAAACTATGAAAACCTTCCTTCCTTCCCTGGCATGACTCCATGAATTTGTCTCCAGAACTGCAGCAGGAAAGTCTTTTTGTTTTCCCCCTATTCACCAGTGTCTCACCAGCCTTTCGCACCATGTGATTATTTGCCTCGCTTGTTCTGAAATCTCTACACATTTCATCCTTTTGCTTGCTTATGTGGACCGGGGCGTGGCCTAAGACAAGATCTCGATAGCCCCCTTTCTGATAAGCAGAGAGAACATTTTGTCTAGTCCAACCAAGAGCAAAGGAATGTTTGTTGGAACTGTGCCAAACTGTTTCTCAGATCCAATTGTTAGCACAAACTGACTATACTCCTTTTCAGAAGCAGGAAAGCAGGTTTCCTGAATGATATGTTGAGGCACAATTCTCCTTTATTTTTTTCTTTTTTTTTTTGATTCCTTGATGTTTTTACATAAGAGGTGTGAAATTTTTGAGATGATTTGGGGGCCTTGCTCACCTCCTTTATGCTCTGTATATGACACTTCTGCATATCCCCCTTGCTGGTCCCTCTCCCCAGTCAGACCACCTGAGCCCACTACTATAAGACAAACAAAACTGTTGATATATTAGCCATATGTTTTTAGATGAAAAAGGATGAAATAGATTCCCAGTGCTCATCATGAGGGAAACATGTTACTATACCTTTCCTATGGGGAAAGCCAGGTTATACATAGAGTTCCTTTGTCATATGTGTAGACATGATTTGAGTAAACAGCAATGATCTTTACCTAGCGTAGTCTTCTGATGGCAAAATATTGTATATTAAATGATTATGTCCTATTCATTTGAGAGTCTTGTTTAAAATTTAAAAAGAAAAAAAAAAAAAAGCTATGCCCTAGATGTAGGGCTTTTCTTCCCAACCAAAGGTCTACAGAAGTTTCTATAGAAACTGTGATTGAATGGTCCCCATATACGTTGGTCCCCTTTATTAGGGATTGATCTGTTATCACTCTTTTCTGAAAGTCATTCTGCATAATTCCCAGTTGCATTTTGGGCTTGATGAGATCCTTAATTCAGATGCAGCTCACAGAGAAGGATAACCCCTTTAAAGGACAGCCTTCCCAGGTGTTGGGCACTCATATACAGGTGTAAAATACAAGGGGCCCGAGGTGGGGGGAGGGAGGCCATCAGATGAGGCCCCTTTAGACATGGCAACCACAGGGGAGGTGTTTTGATGTTGAGATGCCACAGCTGTGCACTGTACTGAATCTCTGACCATAGGTGTATCAATGCCACTGAAACTGTGTAACATTGTCTCCCTTTTCTGTCTCCCCTATGCTTCTGTTGGATGTGATATTTCATTTGAGAATCATCGTCAGTAACCTGTGTACCTTCTCAAAACCTATGTCTGTTGCACTGAGGATGAAAATCCAGCACTAACAAATGTTCTTTGGGCTAAAAATAAAGATCCTTTAAATACTCGCTTTTTCCAAGAAGGCTTGAACATGCCAGAGTTGTGCTGCTGTAATGTGTCCCTGTGTCACTTGGACTGAATCTCTCTAATTCTATCGATTAGAGTCACAAATGGGTTATAATATGTTAAGTTCCAATATTTTTCTGACTTGATTGGAACCTGCTTCTCTGTGAGGCTATTTTTGTAATGAGTTTTTTGTACTTAATTTAACTGCCGCGGTCTTCAAGGGTGGGGGAGGGAGGGAACTTCGGTCCTTTGTTGTTTATTGTTAATGCTCTCCTAGGCCAGCTTGTCATTGTTCCAGTTGTTTGAAAAAAAAAAGAAAAAAGGGTGCATCCATTGTCTGGGTTCTTGAGTCACCTTATATGGCTGTCTAAAAAATGTCACTGTTCTGATTGCGGTCTCTGCAGCCTTATTTGAGTTTTGCCTTAGATTGTCTAACTGGACAAATAAACTCTCTTTGCCCTATGTTAACAAATGCAGATTTTTTTTTCTTTCCTCTTTGTTATAGGGAATCTAAATGTTGAACTTTTCTCTTTCTCTCTTTCTCTTTCTCTCTGACTGTTCTTGGTGCTGGGCCCTTCCCTTCTACAGCGATGATACCTCCTAATCTCGCTGCATGTATGAGAAATGAAAAGCTCGGGGAGGCTTGCTTCTACCTTATGGGCCATAATCAAACTACGGTTTGTAGCTCAATCAATACTAGGTGTTTCTGTGCTGTGGCCTAATTTCCTCATTGCTTCTGCTTAGTTCTATTTTGATATGTTTGGCAATTCATTCTGAACACCCTGCGTTCTTTGAATTGTAAGTACACCACCGACCCTACTGAAATCTTCCTGTCCCTTATCTTAAAAGTAGGTGTAAGAAACCCCGAGGTTAGGTTTGTGAGAGCGATCTAAGCACCTATCCTTACCCAAAGCTTAAAACGACTTTGTAAGCCCCTGTTTGTGTTAATTCTAGGACCCAGCATTCAGAAAGAGCAAACTTCCCATCACAGAGCCCTCCCCTAGGTCGGTAAGGCTTTGATAGACAGAAAGGTGACATGTCCTACCTCGCTATCCTTTGGGAAACTACAGCCCATGGGCCAAATCTTGTCCGCAGCCTGTTTTTCTTAGTAAAGTTTTATTGGCACATGACCACGCCCATTTCTTTTATGAATTGTCTACAGCTGCTTTTACACTCTTCTCCAGTTAAGTACCTCTCACAAACTACACAGCTGGCAAAGCCAGAAATGTTTACTCTTTGGCCCTTTACAGAAAGTTTACAAACCCTGCTCTAGGCTATCTTCGTGTTTTTATTAAAACCCCACCCTGGGTTTTGGGAGATCATTCATGAAACAGATTGTTTAATGTTGACCTTGTTGCCTCATGAAAGATCCTTAAAGAGTTCCTGTGATTCCTTCATCTCTGTGACTGTCACCCTGGTTCACTCGGCAGCACATCATTTCAGGTGTCTTGCCGGGAATCGTGTAATGTGTCTAACTGACTGGGCTTAGCTGCAGCAAGAGCATCCCTGCTTTGAAAAGCGCTGTCATAATGTCAGGGTGCTACCTAAAACATTGGCCATGTCATTTCAAATAGTTTAATAATAAATAGGACCCCCCCCCCCACCATGGGCTGCTCTGCTTTTAAATCTATAGATATCTTGATGTTGTAAGAAGCAGTGCAGTGAGTCCTCAGCTCCCGGATGCAGTTAGGGCGACCTTGTGTAGCATAAGGAAAATTGTCTCTGAAAGGCTGTATCTGAACCCCGTGTAATGTCAGACATGCCCCTGACAACCTCTCTCCCACTCCCTTTTGTCAGGAAACGCCACATTTTGAAAACAGTTTCTTAAACTTACCCAAAACTAGAGAAAAGTGTTGAATAAAATTCACAAAGGTAGAGAGGAGGTTTAATGGACCCTCACATACATGTCACATTTGGCAGTCATCCACATGTGGCCATGTTGCCTCTATAATCCCCTTAGCCCACCACCCTGGAGTTTGTTTGTTGTTGTTGTTTTTAAGAAAAGTGTTTTAAAATAGAAATGTACTTTGCATAAAATGCTTAAAGCCTGAGTGTACAGCTCAGGCTTTTTTTTTTTTTTAACCTCGATAAACACCCATTTTAATCACCCAGATCAAAATATAGACTCTTTTACATCCCCCAGACCCCCAGAAAGTTTCCCTCATCCCCCTCCAGGTCAATAACCTAGATTACTTTTAAGCAAATTAAATTAAGGATTCTTTAAAGAAAAGAATGTTTTCTCTCATGGGGGCCTGGGCGGGAAGAAGGGTGGGCAGGGGAGAAGGCTTGATGGGTGGGAAAGAAGAGCAAGAGGTAGTTAAGGTGGGGACTTTCCGATACCGCTAGATACACTGTTTGGGTTGTGCCTTTAAAGACTAAAATCGTGACTGATGCTGTAAGTTCCTTAATGATCTATGTCTGGGGTGTAGCCATGAGCAGCTAGATGCAGAAAGCCACAAGTACTAAGTTTTTAACCTTCACTAGTTGCAGTTAGACTTAACCAGGATTCAGTCGGCTTTGATTCTGACTGCTTTAACAGTTGTTTGCTTGTTGTGACTAATGAGATCTCAGGCGTGGGAGTGGGGACAGGAGCCGAAGGCCCTCGATACCAAACTGTGGCTCTCCTTTCTTTCCTGGCAGACCCCAGCAGCGACCGGCACGGCCCCGCCGCCGCCGCCGGTGCACAAGGGGTTCCGGAAGTGAGGGCCGCGCCCCCCGACCGCCGACCGCATCCATCATTGGAGTCCAGTTACCCACCCGATCTTCACAAATCATCACAGCATGGGGAAAAGCGGGCACACGGGAAAGACCCAAAAGGCAGCAGAGAGTATAGCAGACAACCCAATGAGCATCACACATGGAATGGAACTTCTAGAAAACCCGACAGTGGGGCTTGCCGACCCAAGGACCGGGCACCGGAGGGATGGAGAGAGGCGCCCCCGGAGCGGATGGTGACCAACGGCCCCAAGAGGAGGTCCCCGGAGAAGCGCAGAGAAGGCACCCGCAGCGCGGACACCACTTTGGAGAGAAGGGAGAAGCACGAGAAGAGGCGGGAGCTTTCTCCGGAGCGGAGACGCGAGCGCTCGCCCACCCGCCGAAGGGACAGCTCGCCCAGCCATCGCAGGAGGTCCCTCGAGAGACTCTTGGATCAGAAACGGTCGCCAGAGCGCAGGAGAGGGAGCTCGCCAGAGCGGAGGGCCAAGTCCACCGACCGCCGGCGGGCGCGGTCCCCCGAGCGCAGGCGCGAGCCGTCCCTGGAGAAGAGGAACAAGGAGGACCGAGTGAGCCACCGAGGAAGGGAAGAGCCCAGTGCGAAAGCGGATGCCGGCCGAAGCTCCAGACACGCCCCCGAGCAGAGAAGGCGACCTTACAAAGAATGTAGCACCGACCTCAGTATCTGAGACGCTGAGGCACAGTCCAACCTTTACCGTGTCAAAGGTTCTAAGAGGAAGGTCACAAACCTGAAATAATTTAGTTTCTTACCTGGTGAAGCGTCTGACACCCGATGATCCTATGAAGAGCAACAAACATTTTATGCATTTGAAATCTTATAAGAAAAAAATATATATATGAAAAGTGTTGTGCCTGATGTATAATATTAAAGAAAGTATTTTTAAATGCGTACTTTTTTGGAAATTATTTGCCAAATGCTGCCCCGAAGAGATACACATTTTGTTTCTACATAAACTGTAGAATTGTCAAGAATTGTTCCCTTTTGGGGGGCAATCTTTTTCTCTCCTGGTTAAATAGGGCTGTTGATCAGAATTTTCTCTAAGGGAAATTATTGATTAAGTTTAATTAATTTGATGTAGATTGTTATGTAGTGATGTAGTGCTATACTGTAGTTAGGAGTTTTTCTTTAAAAAAAAGAGCAAAAAGGCAAAAGTTATATTTGTAAAAGCTGAGGACTCTGAGATGGATTAGGATTGCCGATGATCCTAAAATTTAACTGTATGAAGAGACTACTATTGCAGATGAAGGATATTTATAGCTAAACTACACAGCACAAAGAAATGTTCCCTTCTCGAGTCATAGTTGGTTCAGAAAACAGTTCGTACTCTCCCTGGCCATAGAAAGGCACGAAGAGGAGAAGGTTGGCCGCCATTACCCAAATGTAGCCCAAGCACAGATGGTCAGGTTCATTATTAGCATCACCAACATCTAATAAGATCTCATTAAGGCAGTGCCATCACAGCTTTGCTCAACTACTAGAAGGAACGGACGGGCACTCAACACCTTCTGTGTTGTCTTGTCTGATTTGAGGCTGAATAGTGGATGGAATGGGGAACAATGTGCCCAGTGCAAGGGAGCCGTGAGAATCCTCCATACAGAAAGTGTGTTCCCCCTTTGTAGCATAAGCCCAAGGTTGCCCTTTGCCGAACTGGGGACCAGGGAGTGAGCGTTGGTAGAAGTTACCTCTGTTGATATTTAAAGAAATGAGGGGCTGGGGGTACTTTATTCTTAGAGATGCCGATTTCCCTTTGCAACCATAATAAAAGTCTCCAGGATGGTTGAAAGGGAAAAAGACACAGTCCCAGCAGTGGTAGATGGAGTTGGCAAACCTCTGCCCTCATGACAGTGTCCTTTGAGTCCTTGGACAGCCGAACAAAGCATAACCATTTTTCTTTTTAAAAACGACCCATTCTTTTGCAGTCCCGCAGGAGGTGTGGTTGGGTCGGCTTGTAGCCCCAGGATATGGTTGAAATGGATTACTGCCTAGCTGAGCCAAATGTTTGCTTGTACCTGTTGGACCACTACAGCAAACCGCTGCTTACAATGCATTGTGTATTTCTGTAGTACTGTTTTGCATTTTCCATACAGACACAAAACTTTGCAAGTCAATCACTGTTATTCTCATGGTACTGTTTAAAAAAAAAGGAAAAAGGAAAAAAAAATGGAGAAAACCAGCCAATCATTGTGTGTACAGTTAAAAATTGTAATTAATAGAGCCTGTTTAAAAAATAAAAAAAAACAACTGTTGCCTTTTTTTCTTGTATAAAAGAGAATTTATGACAAAAAAATTTAGCTGTGAGGAATGTGATATGTGTTTATATTTCTGACTATGGAACAAATTGATTCATTGGGATATATTTTAATGTAAACTAAATCAGGTATGTAAAGCTGTTTTAAAATGGGAGACTATGTAAGTAATTCTCTAAAGCTTTAGTTGGTTTGAATATCATCATTTCCTCCATGGTGAGCCTGCTTGTGAATTATTAAGCACTTGTTCGCATTCTCTGTTCTTCACTCATTTCTTGCAGTGTGCTCTGGACTTAATGCTCTTTCTGTATTGATGAGAAGCAGTATGTGGGCCAATCTTTTTATAAAACACTATGCATATATAAATATTACATTGTTCATAGCTTTATTTGACTTCTGGGTTGATACATAACATAGACTGAGTTCCTGTAGTTGTGTGGACATGCACAAAACACGTTCCTTTCCTGGAACAGAGACAATGTACTTGCTGTAGCTGAAAAGGAGGAAGAGGGTCTGTGACTGCTACTTTTATCATCAGAGTTTTCCACACAAAGCATACCTTGAGCTGTGGTAGTAAGGCTGAGGGAAAACACAACGGAATATTGACTTTTGTTTTCATCAGTTTCCTTAGGAGCCCACTTGGGGATTTTATTCCCCAGGCTCCCCTGCTAGGAATGTTCTCACTATTTCTAGCAAAATCGGTGATGTTAAATGATCGATGCTCTCACTTGTGGTCCAGAGTTTTAAATAAATGAAATCAAGGTGGATTTTTGGGAGTACATCGTGAAGGTAACGTCTTAACATCTTTCTTGTTGTCAGAGGTGATATTTGACATTTTAAAATCTGTGTGCTACCCACTTGGGCTTGGCTCAGTCTGCGAAGACTTGGTGTGGCAGTTTCCTCTGAGTTCCACACATCAGATTTGCTTTGGAAATATTGTACTGTACAGGGACTATGCATTAAGCAGAAAGATCCAGTTTTCTCTGAACTACTGTAACCTTAAATTGGAGACTGATTCTTGTGAGCCTACTTTCCCTAACCCCCCACCTCATGTAAATGTCTTGATGAGAGATAATGGATGAGTATTTTGTATGATTAAATCAAACCATTGAAGAATCCCCCTCCCACCCATTACACGGTTGATGCCTGAAAGAATGTTGGGGGGGAGAACTCGACACCCTACTTGTATTTTTTAAGTTTCTTTTGTGAAAGATTTTTTAATGCATTTTTACTGTAAAAATACATGGAAATGTATGCATTCCATAACCACTATTGCTTCTGGATTGATATCTTTCTTGTCTCTGCGTGTCTCAAATGTATCAGGGTCAAGTAATCAAGTGAAGGTGTCTGGCTCCAACTCAGTGCAACAGTAGGGCATTCTGTTGAAAGAGAAGGAATTATGGCTTTGCATCGATAGTACAGTGCCTTGCTACTCAAAGTGTGGTCCGCAGACCGCCTGCCTCATCATCACCGGAGAGGGTATTAGAAATGCAGAATCTCAGGCCACCCTAGACCTACTGCGTCAGAATGTGCCTTTAACAAGCTCCCCGGCTAATTCAAATGCACCTGAACTTTGCACAGTACAGTATAGCAAGGAACCCTGGTAAAAAGCAAAAGACCTGCTAAGCCAAGTGCTTCATCACTTTCTGTGTGATCTTGAGCAAGTTCCTTAACCTCTCTATAAGCCTCACTTTCCTCGTCTATAAACAGGCATATCTCAGAGCTGGTAAGAATGAAGTGCAAAGTGCTTAGCACACTTCTGGCATCAGAACAATCCTCAGTAGATGCCACTAATTTTTTTTTTTTTTTTTTTTTTTTTTTGAGGAGGAAGATGTTCTGCCTGGCAATGGATGTTCTCTTCTCATTGTCCCGGTTTATTTTCCAATGAAAATGAAGAAATAGATTCTCCCTCTATTAAAATGGGGAAGAAGTCCTCCTGTTTTAATAATAAAGTTAATGAACGATGTGGCTCATGCTACTTCCTTCATGAGTCTAATTACACTTACCAGTGATTTGAAATATAAAACCGAGATGCTGTGCTGTGACAGTTAAGATGGAAATGGTCTCAAAGCAGAACCTTTAGAGTTGTGTGTGGAGTTAGACATGCACCTAACTAGTCCTATTAGATGAAAAGGTTAACCAATTGGTGAGCGGCTTAACACATGTCCTGGTCGATCATGTCATTTCTAATGACTTTCCATTTCCTTCGCACAGTTTTTGGATTGTTCCTGTAGTATGATTTGGTAGTTAGGGTTTTCCTATACAACCTAAGTTCCTGGTCATTCAAAAAGGCATTGTGTTTAACAATAGCCTTCCTACAGTCCATCCCTTTTGCTGTATTTTGCTTTATTTTGTCACCGGCATGTTAATTAGAGACACTGTTCGCTTCCCCAGTATCTCTTTTGTTAAAGATGGCACCTAAAAATGGTCCCTGGCTTACGTGATAATTGAAACTATTTGCAAAGCCCATATGTCCCACAAGTTCTTTGCCTGCCATAAATAGTCACATGAAAAAGAATGTGCTGTGACTCAATTATAGCTGGATTCTTCCTGCTGATGGGCAACTCAAGAGCACCTTTGATGGTCTGCATGCATCGTGAAAGGAAGAGCCCTTTCAAGTTCCCCAACGGGATTTTTCTTATAATCAAGCAACATCATCAGCATTGTGGGTGTTCAGCACAATAAGATTCAAGTGTTTTGGGAATATGCATCATCACACGCTTCTAAGAGAGGAAATGACAAAACTGGGCCCTTTCCAACACAATTATTTGGGGGTTTTTTGTTGTTTTTTGTTTTTTTGCAGGAGCAGGCCCTCTGTGAAAAATTTTTTTACTAGTTCCACCCATCGATGTGTTTATGCATTGTGCTCTTCATCAGGAGCTGGTTGTATGGTTTTTCTTCTCTAATGCAAGTATTAGAGGAATGCTGGATCCAAAATACAAGATCTTCTTGGAAGCACATGCCTTGAAGCAAGATGGCATCAACAGTAAATACTCAGGTGCCACAAGTGACCGTCACCTTCTAATAAATCGCTGTTCTTCCCAACTGGAAAGTCTTCATTGTCACATCCCTTGAAGAAATAACAACTTGATCTGCACAGCCTGGAACACTACCCACCAATAAGCACTGTCCTTTTAAGTATATTCATCCCTCCGGGAATGAACTCTGATCTCAAAGGATCACAGGGTTGAAGAGAAAGTAGCTCAGAAAGGCTGCTAATTCTTGCCTGTTACTCATTTCTTCCTCTGACACATATTGAGGACCAACTCTGTGCCCGGGTGCATGGTGGGGCTAGAAATACCTGCTTCCTGGTCTCCAGAGTTTATACCTGGGTGCGAAAGGCAAACACACAAACACAAATAAACTATATACCAAGCAGAAGTTCAGGATCTGTGAGAGTAATTAATAGGGGATGTAGCCAAATTGAGAAAGGTTATAATTCTAGAAGGAAGAGAAGGAGTTAACTGGTGAAAAAGGGAGAAGTATAGCCTGAGGCGAGGGAGGGAGTGTGGTCCAACAGGGAAGGAGGCACACCAGGAAGGGCCAGGCAACTTTGTTCTGAATTTTAGCCTTCAGAGTAACGGGTCCTTTGAAGAGTAACAGAGCTCCTGGTGAGCTGTGTGTGCTTGGGCCAGGGGAAGGGGAGCCGGGGGAGGGGGGGCGGCCTGCGTAGGTTTGAGCTGCCGGAAGATGACCTTGCGCCGCCACAGGGACAGTGGTCTGAGGAGGGTGGGGCTGAAGCCTGTGAGGCTCTAGACAGTCCAGGAAAACCATTCTAGATAAGGCAGGAGTTCTCAGCTGAAAAGTCCCCAGGCCCTTGTTTATCATCCTATTACAAGAATTCATTCTCTATATCTTTGTAAATACCTGCAGAACATTCACTACCTGATTTCTTCTGTTAAAGGCAATCCTTTACTATTCCACCTGGTTTCCTCTGAGTTTACAAATTTCTACCTCCCTACCGTTTTTGTTTTTTTTTTCTTCAGACCCTGGTTTCAAACCTTGTAATCTTGTTTTTACTTTTTTCTTTTTCTTTTTTTTTTTTTAGATTAACCACATTTTTCTCAACCTATAGAGCCCAATTAAGCGATAGTTTTTGTCAAACATGCCTTGTGTTTGCGTGTTGAAAAAGGAGCCATTCCTATAATAGCCTACTTTGAAAAGCAGTGTTTTTTTTAATTTACAAAACTAATTCATACTTAATAAAATATTCAAGCATGTCAGGAGAGTATAAAGTAAAAGGCAACTTCCTTCCTTACCATCTGTCAATCCCAGTGCAGAAAAGTAACTATTACTAACAGCTTGGTTCATGACATTTATGATTTTTTTCTATTTATATATAACTGTGTATATGTTTATGTAGTTTGGGGGTTTTTTTTTTAAAGATTTTATTCATTTATTTGATAGCGTGAGCAGGGAGAGGGGCAGGGAGAAGGGCAGAAAGAGAGGGAGAAGCAGACTCCCCACTGAGCAGGGAGCCCGATGCGGGGCTCCATCTCAAGATCCTGAAATCACAAGCCAAGCCAAAGAGCCAGCCGAAGGCCGATGCTCAATCAACTGAGCCACCCAGGTACCCCTGGGGTTTTATTTTTATGCAAAAAAATAGACAAATAGGTACATACAATTTTAGGCTTTTAGGCACTGTACCTTATCTTATATATTGTGGATATATATAAGTTTTATAAATGGAATATATATATAAAACATATATATAGTTTTCCATGTTAGAATATATATATGTATATACATGTAGAATATAGTACATATATATATATATCTCAAATACCTCATTTATTCTATTTCTCTACCAGTCTTTCCTCCCTTCCCTCCTGGATTACTGCAATAGCATTCCTACTTTTCTCCCTCCCTTTACCCTTGCCTACCTATAGACTCTTCCACACAGCAGCCAGAAGGATTCCTTTAAAACATCAAGCGAAAGGTCAAAGTCTGACGCCAGGCTACATACAAGGCCTGTGAGGTCCCGCCCCTCCTTTCTGGGTGACCCTTCTTCACCATTTCCCTTCCAGCCACACTCCAGGCACACTCCCAGCCTTCTTAGGGCCTTTGCTCTAGTTAGTCCCCCTGCCTGTGCCTGGAAAGTTCTTTCCCCAAAGATTCATGGCTGACCACCCTATTTAAAACAGCAACTGGATTTCCCTTCTACTCTTTTCCCCTCCATAGCACTTCCACTTCTAACACCTTGTATAATTTATGTTTACTTATTGTCTTTATGGTTTGTCACCTGTTTTCCACCTCTAGAATCTGGGCTGGCTTTGTGGACGAGGAACCTGTGCTTCGGTTCCACGGGGCCCTGCACTTAGGAGGGCCCCGTCCTTGGTTTAATGTTCCACCGTCACCATCTTAAACTTTTACTAATTTGTGAACAAGGAAGAGCCACATTTTCAATTTGCACTGGGTCTCAAAAATTATATAGCTGGCCTTGTCTTGAATATAAACTTCATGAGGACAAGGATGTTTGTCCTGAACTCTGATGAAGTCCAACATCCTGGAACAGGATCCTATTTATAGTAGGTGCGCATAGTAGGTGCTCAGGAAATAGAAGTATTCTGCTTTCTCTTAGTAGTTTCACATTCTGAAGTTGACCTCCATCTATTTTCCTAGTCCCTATGGATTAAAAAACATGGGGCAGTGAGCAACCTTATATATAAAACTTGGTACCCTTGAGTGGTTTGGCTTAAATAATTTTGAAAGAATACATTGTGACTGGTAGTTCCTTTTTACTTCTGATGACATTGAGATTATTGAGACTTGGCATGTTTTCACTGGGAACAGCTGTTTTTTAAAAAGCAAGGTGCTTGCAGGCTACAGAGCTGTCTCATCAGATGAGAGTTACTACCACACACAGCATAGCCACCAAGCCAAATGTGGATGGCCTTGACTACACATTGGCATCACCTGGGAGCTTTAGAGATGTTCATGCCTGGGCCCAGCCCCAGATATTTTCAGGTAATTAGGCAGGGATGTGGCCTGGCTTTTTTAAAGTTCCCAGGGATTCCCAACAGGCAGCCGTAACATTCTCCATCTGCTTTAACCCCATGGACTGTGTGGGATGGAACGGGTCCGCTTTGCTCCTCCCTTCTTCATAGTGTCCGCAGGTTGCCTTCTTTAGTCTGCAATATAACAGCAGCTCGAAGGAAGGACGGCTAGAGAATATTTTCCCAAAGTAAACAAAGAACCTTTTCAAATTTCAGGAAGTTATTTGCCAGACATACAGATAGTGGACATACAGATGTATTGATTGTGAATTC